TGGGACTGTGTCTTTTGGCTCCCAGGAGCCTCCTGCCCACCTGCCCTGGACAGTCAACAGTCACAGAAAGGCCTTCCTACGTGGGAACCCCAGAATGGCCTGTGGTCTTCCTGCCAACCTCTTGGGATGAAGCCCCTCCCTGCCCTGAGTGACCCCAGCCTGGTTCTCACCTGTCGGGGTCTGGGTGGCACTGAGGGGCTTGGCAGAGGGCAGGAAGGAGGGTGTGTGCCCTGAGAACCAGGTAACCCAGATCCTGGCCATCCTGTTCCTGCCAGCTGTGTCCCCGTCTCAGAGGGGGCCTGATGACGAGCTCCTGAGAGGGTTTGGGGAGCCTAAAGGCTCTGGGCTGGCCCCATGGCCTTGATCTGACAGGTGGGTCCCCTGAGTCACCTGCCAGCTGTCCAGAGCCCATGGTGGCCTGGGGTCTCAGTGGCCACCTGTTCCTCAGAGATTCTGCCAACTTCTGAGATGGAATCCCCAAAGCTACAGACACTCCCACCCAACACGGAGGCTAGCTAGGGGTTCCTGTGAGGGCCAGGACGACTTCCTGAGGTCAGGCTTGGGCAGCAATGGGGTGGGCCGGCAGTCCCTTGTCTGGACTCCAGGTCCATCAGACTGAAAAGTGGAGCAAAAAGCAGGATGGAGGGGGGAGGAAGGAGAATCCATTGGGTCTGTCGACCACCTAGGCAGGGTGTGGAGGCCAACCCGCCCGCCATGCTTGGGGAAGGGAGCCTCCACCCTGCCTCTGCGTTCCAGGAAAAAGTTACCCCAGACTTTTGGGTTTAATTATTCCTTTTTCCTCTCCCTCGCTTGCCAAGGGGGCAAAGGCAAGCTGACAGCAGGGAGGAGCAGCCTGCCGCCACGGGGCCTGGGCAGGGGGCTGGCGACCAGTCAAACCCAGGCCGGCTCCAGCCCAGCCGCTGCTCTGCTTGGGGCGGGGTGGGGGGGGGGGAGAAACAACTGCTGGCTTTGAAGGTTCTGGAGTAGGTCTGTCTGGTGGACTTAGCACCTAGAGGATTGACTCCGCCCACTTTCTCCCTGCTCTCAGAAGCAGCCTTGGGCCTCCGCTTCCCATCCCTCTACATCAGCGGCTCTCAACCTGTGGGTCGTGACCTCTTTGGGGGTCAAACGACCCTTTCACAGGAGTCGCCTGACAGTTACCAAGTAGCAAGGAAAATAATGTGATGGTTGGGGGTCACCACCACATGAGGAGCTGTATGAAAGGGTCGTGGTATCAGGAAGGTTGAGACCCACTAGGCTAGAGGGTCACTATGACAGCCACATGGTCCTGGGGAGGAGGGGAGCTCCCTGCTCTGACCCACCCCCTGTACACCTGCTTTTCTTCCTCATTGTCGTCTTAAGGAGGAAGTGGAGGAAGGGTTGAGTCGGGCTGCGACCCCTGGGAGAAAGATCCAGAAGCATGAACAGCCTTGGAAACCCTGTGATGCAGCTCTGTTCTGCCTCCAGGGTCAGTGAGAGTTGGATTTGACTCCCAGGTGGTGGGTTTGGGTGGGGTGGATTGAATTGGGTTGGGCTGCGTGGGGTGGGTGGAGGTTAAGGCTGTGTGGGGAAGATCGGCCAGGGTGCCTCAAGTTTAGCATGTGAGCTTCCCTTGAAGGATGAGGAGAAGGCGCCTCTTGTCTCCACAGCAAGGGGTGTCACTAGCCCCATGTCCTTCCTTCCTGCGCCTGCTCGGCCATCTCCCTCAGCCTCCCAGCCTCCACAATGACATCTGGTAGGACACCCATCACCTTCAACTGGGGGCAGTACTTCAGAGGGAGGGGTCCTGGCACCCAGGCACCCAGCATGGGCAATAGGAAGGTGGACCTGGGTCCTAAGCAAGATGGCCAAGGCTGGGTCTCCACGAGCCCCATCCTCATCTCCACACACCTAGACACCAACCTCCTGGGCCTACCACGGCTGGAAGAGGAACCTCCCGAGCACTGGACAAGGGTCCAAGGGGATCGATCGGAGGATGCCTATTTGAGGGGAACCCCCGAGAGTGAGGTTGCTGTGGGGGAGGCGGGATGGGGTAAAGTCCAGGGGACCGTGACCATAGATGCCCACACAGAGAGCGTGCCCTTCTCTGCCTGGGGTCCCACTCCCCAGACACGGGCTTCCTTCCCAGCCATGAGCCTGGGCAGGGGGCGGGGGAGCCTGGGAAACTAGCAGAGTGTTTGCTTTGGCTCCTTCCTGCATTCCTGCTCCTCCAGGGCTCAGCCCTCCTGATAGGGCACTTCCTGTTTGGGCTGGGTCACAGGTCAGCAGCCCCAGAGGCTCAAAAACTTTCCCAGCTCTCATGTTCCCCCTCCCCGCTCCCCTGCCCCCCACCCTGTCAACTAACCCAGCCCTCCCTCTATCCTCAAGGTCCACTGAGCAGATGAGGCCAGAGAGTCCCGGGGAGGGGCAAGGGCAATGTCAGCTAGACCCGAGGACCTGTCTTTCTGGGTCCTTTCAATGGAGCCTTCGTGGCTGCATGAGGTTGTGCCCGTGGGGACAATGACTGGGCACCCCAATGAAAAAAGGGCTGGCAGCAGCCATAGCCAGCCCCCGGAGCAGCTCCTTAAGAGGTGGGGGTCTCTGGGACGCAGCTCCATCGGAGAAGACCAGGCGGGGGTTACCCACCAAGACTCACTGCCAGTGTCTTTCTGGGGCAAGAGAGGGCGATGCCCACACACAACCCCGCACCAGCTGACACCTGGGAGTGACATTAAGTGAAGTGATAAGGGGAAAAAAGACCACACGTATGAGGGGTGGAGAATCGAGGCTGATGTCCCTCGCCTCTCGCCCCCTCAAGTCCACCTTCTCATCTGGCCACACCCCAGGCCAGGCCTCTAAAGATAGCTAGATGCAGGCCGGGCCTCTCCAAGTCCCCTTCAGCCCTGAAATTACAGCCCAGCGGGATGAGGCGGGTCTGGCAGGGCAGCTGGGAGCTGCTGTGTGATTATGTGCCCCGGAGGGGGGGGGGAGGTCAAAAAAAGCTCCTGGCAGGGGGAGTGCCAGCGTTCACCAGCCACACCTCTGCCAGCCAGCACCGGGAAGCTCCCCTCATTCTGAATGGGCCTCATGGGACCCAAGATGGGTAGCAGGGTCGCACCCTGGGTGTCTGTCAGCTGGGACCTAGGGGACAAAGACTCCAAGAGAGGCCTTGTCACACGGCTGTCCACATGGTGGCACAGGCTCCTAGAAAAGGCTATAGCTTCTCCCAGACTTTGGCTAAACTCAGGGCGCAGCATGTGACTTGTTTGAGAAGGGACATTCATGTGTGGGAGGCTGAGATATACAGCCCCCCCCAGGGGCGCCCCCCCCCCATGCCTGTTGAAAGGCAGCCCAATGCCTTCTACTTTCCACCCTGGAACCTGCCCCAGTAGGCAGAGTGGGGCCAGGATGAGCCCCCCACCCCAAGTCCTGGCCAGTGTGCCCTTCCTTCCAGTCCTGGGGCACTACAAGCTGGGCGTCCACCAGGCTCCCAGCCAAGGCTGGGTCTGCGTGCCAGAGGGGACCAGCAGACCCTCTGCCTTCCTCTGAGGGCCTGGATCTCTGCTCTCCGTCCCAAACTTGGAAGTCAGGGCACAAACCGCTGCAAGCCACCTCTGCAAGGGCAAACTGCAGGCCTTCCTTGCCCCTTCCTGCCCTCCAGCCTCCTAGAGGGCAAACACCTTAAGCTTGACTGCCTGGCCCTCTAGTCCCCACTGTGGGCTCCTACCTGAGGCATGCGAACCCTGGGCTGGGCTCTCTAGGCCATGCCCCTTGTCAGTTGGAGAGGGCTCCTTCCAGCTGAAGAAGCCTCTTCTATGGAAAGGCAGCAGGAGCCCTAGGCTGAGGGGCAGGGCATGCTGGGAGAGAGCCCTTGACTCCCGCCTCCCACCCCATGATGCCCCCACAGAGTTCAGAAAGCTAGGTTCAGGAACTGCCTGCGGAGCCTCCTCACAGCCTTTAGCAGGGCTCCAGGGTTTCCTATGCTCTAGAGAAAGCTAAGGACAGTAGGTGGCGGGGACAGAGGTGGGGAGGCGCTGGGATGGAGGTGCTGCCTGGCTGGGCTGGGAGGAGCTCCAAAATTAGAGGGCCAGTGAGTGACTCAGTGGGCCTTGGGTCAGGCATGCAGTCACAGCTTATTGCAGCCTGCCAGCCACAGAGAGCCATGGGGATGGCAACCTGGCCCCAGACCCGCCCTAAGGCAAGGATGCTCACAGCAAGGGAAGAGCCACCCAGCAGTCCCTAGGTGTAGAGTGGAGCCCTGGACTGCCCACCAGGCACCTCCCCACTTGCTTGCAGGGGTCCCCTGTGCACGCAGTCTTCCTGTGCTGGGTATGGCCCGTCCTCATTTGCGCCCTACAAACCCTGACCAGCTCCACTGGGCTGCGCAGTAAGGAGGAGGCTGCGCTGAAGGGCACTTTTTTTCTGCCAGCGTCACTGCGATACAATTCACACACCGTGCAATTTGCCCTTCAAAGTGCTGAGAGCTCTCCCTCCATGGGCTCGCTGAGGGGGGAGAAAGGGGGAGCCTCTTTACTCCACATACTCCGGGCGGATTGGGGAGGGGACACCATTGGGGGGGGGGTGCCATGTGACGGTGAGCTGCCCACCAAGGACCCAGGCCTGGGTCCAGCCTTCCTGAGCCGCCTTCCTCTCCCGAACCTACCTCCTTGCAGCTCCCAGGAAGCCTCAGTGTCCCCATCAAAGTGTACACATTCAGTGGAAATTTTGACTGGGGCCTGGCCCGCCCTAGGGCTGGGGTGAGGGATTGGGGATGGGCATGAAGGGGAGGGGCTCAGCTAACCCAGCCCTCTACCAGAAAATTGCTCCCTTGGAAGCTGCCAGGGGGCTGAGAAGTCTGCCCCCTCCCTCCCTCCTCCCGCCCACCAGCTCCACCAGCCCCCTCCCTCCTCTCTCGCTCTCCGCCCCCTCCCCTGTCCCGTCCCACTGCTGGCCTGCCCACCCGCCTGCCCGCCCCGCCCAGCCTTTAGCCTCCAGCCCACAGTCTCTGCCTCCCTCTCTCTCCGCCAACTGCCCAGGAGTCAGCAGCTAAGCTCACACAGCCAGCTAGACAGACTGACTCTCGGACACCCAACACCCCAGCCTCTTCCACAGGTAGGGATCCAGCCTGAGCCAGCCCTGCACTGTCCCCATGCTGCCTCACCCTTGACGCTTCTGAGGCAGGACTGAGATGCCCTGGCCCTGGGATTGCCGTCCCCTGACCCCCACCCCACGCAGACATTTCGCGAGTCAATAAGCAGCCGAGTCCCACCCTGTAGCATCCCCTTCCCCCCCCCCCAATCCTCCACCACCAGAGGGTCCTATTCTCCACTCCCTGCTCACTGGGTTCCTGTTGCTCTTTGCCCCCTCCTCCTGGTCCCCACTGTCTCCCAGAGTCACTTCCCTGGCATTCTTGCTCCCCCCTGGTCCTGGGTGAGGTGTGACCCCAGGGCTCTGGGCCAATGAGACCACAGGCTACTCCTAAACCGGGACCCCTTCCTGCCAGGATGGGCACATTTGGGGATGGGCGGCAGCTCAGGTACTTTCTGGGGTGAAGGTTGTGGCCCCAATTTCCTTTCCCTAGCCCCAGTACCTGGACCCTTGGGGCCATAGCCAGTCGGGGACAGCGCTGGGACCAAGACCCAGGGCTCCTGGTGGACAACCCTGGCTGTTGACCACACACCGTGGCTTCAAACTGCCTGCGTTCCAATTGCCAGCTCCAGCCACAGGGCTGACGCTGTTCCATGCACAGCCACCATGGTGTGGAGCCCAGGAGCCCCCGGGTGGCAGAGACGACTCTTTTGCCATCAGGGCAGAGGGGCTCCTGCCTTGGTACTCTACCAATCTAGTGACTGTTGCTGGCATAGGGCATCCCCCTCAGGAGGTGGGGTTTGTGTCACCTGCTCCAGATGGCTCCCAGGGGGCATCAGGAGTGGGTTCCAAGCCAGGGGACAGAGAGGGCTCCCATGGGCACAGTGCCAAGTCCAAGACTGGCAGATGTATAGAAGGGGGGAAGTCAGACAAACTCCCCCCAATCCCACCCCCAGTCACCAAGGCCTTAAAGGAGCATGAGCTAAGAAATCAGGAGGAAGAGAATTTTCTTTCTTTTGTAACGTTGTATGGTCGCTCACAGGGACAGTTTGCACACAGAACCTTCCAGGAGGTCTTTCCCCTCTCTCAAACTTCCTACTGGCCCTGCCCTGTGGAGAAGCTCCATGGGCAGGGGGCCAAAGCATGTCGCCTGGGGCCCGGCTCCTCCACTCCCACCCTCCCAAGCCCCTCTGTGGTCACTTAGCCCTGGACCTGCAGAGGCACCCAAGCCTCTCTCCCTCCTGCTTGTGTCCCCGGTGGGCAAGAAGACCCCCAGAACCGGGGAGAGCTTGGCCTCTGCCCAGCCGGGGCCTCCTTGGACTCTGGGCTCCTGTTGTCTCTGTCGGGGTTGTGGACCTCACCTGGGGTAGATATGTCACCCAGCTCCAGGGAGCCTGAGTTGGTTCCAGGATCTCTGCACACATGGAGAGTCTGAGGTGATGAGTGTGGTGGCTCACTCCCCCCCCCCCCCTGCCCCCAGGGTGGGGGAAGACCCCAGTACCCTGAGCTCTGATGCTGTCTGGGGCCTGGGGCAGTCAGTGCCCCTTCAGACACCCCCTCCTCTCCCACTCTGGCATGGCCTGAGAGACCAGGGATGGCCCTCCCACAGGCTGCCGGCGCCTGTGTCCTGGAGTCCCTTGGGGCAGGTCTAAACCACTGCTCTCTTCCCCTCCTCTCCCCAAGGGGCCAAGATAGGACCTGTGCTTTGGTCCCTCTTTCTAAGCGAGCAGATCGAAACCTGGTCCTTGGCTTGTGGACCCCTTGGCCACCTGGAGCCTACACCCCACCCAGGGGCCTCCACTCCGTGTAAAACCCCAGGCTCCCAGGCAGGGGTGCCCACAGAGGGTACTGCCCGTAAGCCGCAGCTCTCCCACAGCCTCCAGCAAAGAGGCAAGCTGGCATGGCCACCCATTGGCAGGACATGGGCATGGATCCACCCCAGCCCAATGACAGAACAACTCGCCCCCTCTCCCCCCCTAGGGTGACTCATATCTCCCCTTCAGAACCCAGGGCTCCCCAGCCAACAGCCAGGAAGTTTCCAGACCCCACAGCCTGGATGTGGAGCTAAGCCCAGAGTCAACTAATTCTGGGGTTGCTGAACTCACCCCTGCCCTCCCCCACCAGCTGCTGGACCTTCAAGGAGTGAGAGTGAGCCAGTGAAGCCAACTGGCCCTGGGCTCTGGGAATGTCTCCCCCGTGTGGCCTGGCTGCCTGACCCACTCGGCAGTGCCACCCTGGTCCTCAGAGCCATAACAGAAAGGAGGGGTCTGACATACAGGCAGCTGGACAGACTGGCAGCAAAACCCTACTTCAACCATTTCCTTGCTGTGTGGAAGAAATTCCTTGAGCCTCAGTTTACTACCACCCATTGGGAATAACAGTGCTTCCTTTTTCTGATGTCCCTGGGAAGTGTCTTGTTGGAAACTTCAGGGAGCTCAGGTTTACCTACTAAGTGGGAGGAGGAGGGAAGTCAAACTCACAACCCAGAGCCTGGTGTGGAGGGACCAGGAGCCCCCAAAGACCCAGACATCTGCTAGCACTCTGGAAACTTCGAAACACAGTGGGGATAACATAGTCTCGCCTGGCACTCCGGTCACCTCCCACCTCCCCTGTGCCAGCAGCCTCGGCAGCCACCACCCACATCCCAGTCCACCCTGTGGAGTGAGGGGAGGAACCAGCTATTCTGTGTCCCCCAACTACTCCCAGCATTGCAGAGCCCCCGGGAATGCAGCCGCCATCATTGTGGTCCAACTATGCAGAATGGACAGGGTCCACTCCCTCCCGCTCCACCCAGTCACTTCCCACTGACAGTACGCACTGCTCTGGCCTGGGGTGACAGCTGCCTGGAGACTCTGGTGGCTGAAGATGGCACACGTGTCAGAGTTCAGGTCGGGTGGCCCCTGCCTGTCCAGCTTTTTCAACTTAATAGCGGCAGGCTGCCCCTCTGCAGTGGGCTGGTTGCCCTTGGCGGGGCCTGAATGGCTGGCAGCCCCGCTGGAGAAAGCCCACAGGGCGCTGCTCAGACAAGGAGGGCCCTGTCTGCTTGGCGTCCAAAGGTTCCCAGAAGCCTGGCCTGGCCCCCCTCACACCTGTGGTCGCCCCTCCTTTGAGGAGGGCCCCTGGCTGCTGGCGGCCTCAGTGTGTGAGATGTGTGTCTGGGAGGAGCGTGAACGGGGAGCCCCAGGAGGGCCTCCATGTCGAGGCCCAGGGACCAGGCCCAGAGTGTGCCCAGGGAGGGCAGGGTGGGACTCTCCGCCATGCTGGCGGAGCCGGACACTCAGGAGCGCCTGAGGAGCTCTGTCTTTGTGGCCCCAGCCCCTCACTCCCACCTGCCACCCCAGCTCTCCCATCCAAAGGAACCACAGATGGAACGTAGAACGTCCCTTTGTCAGGGTCACCCCCCCACCCCCTGAGAGTTAGGAGTCAGCCGGTGGGCTCTTGGCTTCAATGAGGAGAGCTCCAGGTCCAGTATGGGCCTGTCTACACCCGCTCAGGTTCGGGAGGCTGCCTAGGCGCACAGCCTGCTCTGGGCTTCAGCCGACAACCCACCCCACCCCCACATTCTAAGGCCTGACTCATTTCCCCTGTGAGGTAGCGTCTTTGGCAGGGGCTGGGGGGTTGGGGGTGGGTGGGAGCAGTCTCCTCCCTCTCCGGTTCCCTCTGGCTCTCCCGCCTCATATCCATCTCCCATCTCTGCATGTCCAGCCAGCGGCTAAGCAGGTAGGCAGGGCCCCCTTCCAGCTGCCCGCTACCCATGGTTGACCCCCACTTTGCTGTGCTGCCTGGGGCTGGTAGGCAGCCTCCCTGAACCGTAATTGCAGGCAGGGAGTTCCAGCTTAGGCTGTGGGCCGCTGAGGCTCTCCAAAAGTGTGTAGACGGTGTCCTGCTAGGGACACCACCAGCCACAGCCCCATCCACTAGGACTGCTCAGGGAAGGAGCAGGTAGGGCCAAGCTCTTTGGAAGCTTCTCCCAGCCCTACTGATACCCTAGCAGCCAGCAATCAGGCTGAGCAGGGACCCCCTCAGTCTGCAGGCAGACACGCACATGCCCAGTTCACAGATGAGGACCACACGGCTCGGTGAAACCCAAAACTTCCTAGAACTGCCCCTTGACCTAGCCCTGGTGTGTGCTCTGTGCCCGCCCCTTCTAACCATACTGTGTGGCCTAGCCTCTGGCAGGGGAACCGAGGGTGAGGAAGCTTCCCCTCCACCCCCACCCCCAACCCCAGCCTCAGCCTGGGGGCCTCCAGGCTAGCCTGGTCCTGCCTGCCAACCTGGCAACAGCCCACTCCTTTCAGTTGGGAGGTCTTTTGAGGGGTTGTGGGTCCAAAGGGGCATGCCCGCCCGAGGGGGAGAAGGAAACCTAGGCCCTTGGCAGTGGGGGTGGGGGTGGGGGGGTGGAGGGCAGCCTCGTTTTGGGATCCATGCCATTTCCTCCTGAACTCCTTAGCAAAATGGAAACAGGGGACTCTCATTATGCCCCACCCCCACCCCGCCAGTCACCCTCCAAGGCAGGATCCCTCTTGCCTCTGGCTTCCTTTTACTTCCTCCCTCTGCTCCCACCTCGACTTTGGTTCTGGGGTCTATCTGTTCCTGGTGGGGGCTGGCTGGAGGGGAAGTGAGGGACCAGGGACCATCCAGTTCTGACACCCCACGGCCTTCCGCCCCAGGCACGTCGACCATGCAGCCCCTGTGGCTTCTCTCGGCTCTGCTGGCCCTGAGCCACGCCCTGCCCTTTGAGCAAAAGGGCTTCTGGGACTTCACACTGGATGACAGCCTGGTCCTCATGAATGACGAGGAGGCCTCAGGCGCCGGCTCGACCTCGGGGGCCCCGGACCTGGACTCCATCACCCCAACCTTCAGTGCCTTGTGTCCTTTTGGCTGCCACTGCCACCTTCGAGTGGTTCAGTGCTCCGACTTGGGTCAGTGTCAGGCCAAGGGTGGGTCAGGGATGAGGCTTCTTCCCTTTAGTCCCTTGGTCCCTGTGCACCTCTGTGATCACCGGGGGTGAATGGGCGGGAGTGGGAGTCAGGCTGGGCAGCAGCCCTGTGCCCAGGGTCCTGGCTTCTCCGGGACCGGCTAGGGGTGGCTCACCCTGGCTCTGGTGGCGCCGGCCCCCAGGTCTGAAGGCTGTGCCTAAGGACATCTCACCTGACACGACCCTGCTGGACCTGCAAAACAATGACATCACCGAGCTCCGCAAGGATGACTTCAAGGGCCTCCAGCACCTCTATGTAAGGGGACCATAAGCCACTCCACTTACCTGCAATGTTGTCATGGGAAGTACTGGCTTCATGGTGGCCCATCCACGTGCATGGTCCGAGGCCGCCGGGTTAGATGGCAGTGCTGGGCCTGAGGCAGGGGGTGGGGGGGTGGGGGGGGGAACCAGACAGCTAGTTAGTTTCCCTCGTAGCTGGCTCAGGTTAGCAGGGAGGAGTGGCTGAGGCTCCAGGCCCTGGCGCCCTCACCGTGTCCTGACACTGCCTGCCATGGCTCTGCTGCAGGCTCTGGTCTTGGTGAACAACCAGATCGCCAAGATCCACGAGAAGGCCTTCAGCCCCCTGCAGAAGCTGCAGAAGCTCTACATCTCCAAGAACCACCTGGTGGAGATACCCCCCAGCCTGCCACGCTCTCTGGTGGAGCTCCGCATCCATGACAACCGCATCCGCAAGGTGCCCAAGGGTGTGTTCCGTGGACTGCGCTACATGAACTGCATCGGTGAGTGTGGCCCAGCCCTGGGGCCTCGCAGGGAGGGACTTGGGGAAAGCTGGCCTTCTGGAATATTCCCCCAAGGCAGGTTTTCCCAGAGCCTCAGCAGGAGGGCGATCACTGACTTTTGCGCCCACTCCCTGGGGACAGTGACCTGAGGCAGGGTGAGGGTGGGTGTGGCCAAGGGGGCTGGCTGGGCATACCTGGGCTCTGAGGGGAACAGGCTGAGACAGTGTCCTGCTGCGGTTTCCTTTCCATAGAGATGGGCGGGAACCCCCTGGAGAACAGTGGCTTTGAACCTGGAGCCTTCGACGGTCTGAAGCTCAACTACCTGCGCATCTCCGAGGCTAAGCTCACCGGGGTCCCCAAAGGTAGGAGGTGGCCTTCCTCTGCGAAGTCTGGCCTCTGAGTGGGGCCTCTAGCCATCTGGCGGAGTGGACAGACCTCTGTCCCCCTGCCTCCAAGTCAGCTGAGTGACCCCTGTCTCTGCAGACCTCCCCGAGACTCTGAATGAACTCCACCTGGACCACAACAAGATTCAGGCCATTGAGCTGGAAGACCTGCTCCGCTACTCCAAGCTGTACAGGTCCGGGGCGGGGAAGCGGGCCCCCAGCCTGTGGCTACCCAGCCTGTCCCATCGCCCGCCCCTCTCACAGCCCCTGTCCGCCCCGCTCACAGGCTGGGCCTGGGCCACAACCAGATCCGCATGCTGGAGAACGGCAGCCTGAGCTTTCTGCCCACATTGCGGGAGCTGCACTTGGACAACAACAAGCTGTCCCGGGTACCCCCCGGCCTTCCGGACCTCAAACTGCTCCAAGTGAGGCCCCACCCAGAGCTGACCCTCCCTGCACCACCACTCCACCCCCCTCCACACAAGGGGCCAGTTTGCTCCTGGACAGGAGCAGGAGCACCAATTCCAGAGAGCTAACCAAAGGTTTTGAAAGACTAGCAAGCATAGTGCCTGGCCATAGGTTGTTTCCTTGGCCAGCCCTGCTCTGAGCCTCCCTTTCTTCCTCAGCCGGATTCAGAGAAGCCCAGTGTGTTACCCTGGAACTCCCCATCATACCTGGTCCTGCCAGGGCTGCACTGGGTCCTGTTGGGCCAAGGTCGCCCTCTAGTGGCCAATATCCTGTCCGCCTCCAGAGGGCGCTGCGGCAGCCTGAGCCCTGTTAGGCGCTTACAGGCCCTCTGGTGCCTCCCCTTGGTCCCTTGATCCCTCCCCTAGAGGAGGATTGCTAAGCTAGTCCCTGAAGGCCAGCTGGGAGGAAAAGGCGACTATTTAGAAGGTATAGCCATGTACCAGCTGTCAGAGGGACAAGAGGGCAGCCCAGAGGGCCTCACGGGGTAGAAGGAGAATCTGGGAGACTGGACCCCTTCCAGCCAGCCTTGGCCGTGCCCTCTGTCCCCCAGGTGGTCTACCTGCATTCCAACAACATCACCAAGGTGGGCGTCAATGACTTCTGCCCCGTGGGCTTCGGGGTCAAGCGGGCCTACTACAACGGGATCAGCCTCTTCAACAACCCTGTGCCCTACTGGGAGGTACAGCCTGCCACCTTCCGCTGCGTCACCGACCGCCTGGCTATCCAGTTCGGCAACTACAAGAAGTAGGAGTTGGGGGGAGCTTCCAGGAACTTGGCAGACACCCACCCTGGATGCTCACCCCACCCCCTCTGGCCATCCTAAGGAGCAACACAAGGGCACCCCTGCCAGCCACTCCATCCCATGACCCTGGCCTAGGAGCTGCCTCCACCCACCTGTCCCCACCTGCCCCAAGGCCACACACAGGAGTCTGGGCAGCTTTCCCATGTAGGCTTGTGTGCAGGCTCAGCCACAGCAGAGTGCCTGCAGGTCTTGGGTTTTTTTTTTTTGGGGGGGGGGATAATAGCTCTCTCTCTCTCTCTCTCTCTCTCTCTCTCTCTCTCTCTCTCTCTCTCTCTCTCTCTCTCTCTCTCTCTCCTTGTTCTCCTCGGACCCTGTGACATCCCCCCTACCCCACCCCTACACACACCTCAATGAACTCTGTCGTTCTGTCTAGTCCCTCTGTCTCTCCCACCCTTTCTTGGCCAGGCCTCAGACACGGTCCCGCCCAGGCAGGCCTGGTGGGCAGCTGCTTCCCCTACAGGCCCTGGCCAGGCCTGGCCCAGACAGCCCCATTGAAGAGGCTGCAGGAGATCAGGCTGGGCTTCCCGATGCCCATCGCCCACTGTCACTTCTCCCCTGCCTGTCCCTTCTCCCCCTGGCCCTTGTGGGGGTGGGGACAAGCATTCAGCATGAGGCTGAGCTGCCTCTGAGGGAGATGGCTATCTTTCCATTAAAGAAACACTGTGCAATATGACTGTGTGTGGCACTGCTCTCGGGGGACTGTGGACTGAGCCCATTTGGAGTCCTCGCCTTCCCCTCTCCTGCCCCTCACCCCAGGGCAAGAGGCACAATGACTGGTCCTGAGCCCTTGGACCAGGGCCTCCTCTTCCTCCCTTCTGAGTGATTCCATTAGCCTGGGCTCCAGAGGTGGACTGGACTGAGGGGACATCTGCCCTCCCAGAGTGGAATGCTGCTAGCAGAACCCCATACTAGACCCTCCTGGGTAGATACATCCCCCTGGGATATGCACTCAGGGTTAGGGCTTAGGGTTGAAGGGCCACACTGTGCTGCATAAAGAGCGAGCATGGGGCAGAATGACAGTCCTCAGAGCCGGGCCGGCCACAGGGATGCAAAGCCCAAGCCTGCAGCCCAGAAGGAAGGGCCGACATGTCCCTAGTGTCCTCCTTCCTGGCTGGCCACCGCACCAGCGCCTGGGTTCTCCTTTTTGGGCTGGGCGGTGCTACCCGACGAAGCAGCCCAGCTATAGAATATCACTGGCGGCCTCCTTGCACTATTCTGGGCCGAGTGCTTCCCGGCTGGCAGGCCCAGGGCAAGGGCATTGGCTGGGAGCCAGCAGTCGGGGCCCTGGGCTAGTCCCCAGCTGGCCTGAAGGAAGGGGCAGCCTGGCCTGGGACCTAGGAGGGACAGCCAGGGCCCCAGCAATCACTCTCCCTTCTTGCCCCCCTTCTCTTTTATCCATTCTTCCACGTCTGGAACCTTCACCAAGCTCTGGACCCAGGGACTCCAGGAGAGCAGCAGCAATTAGTGGGGCACGTGTTATAATGGTGGGAAGAGCAGAGGGCTTCAAGAGCCAGAGAAGACACTCCCTCTTGCACACACACACACACACACACACACACACACACACTTGCCTAAGTCAACCTGCACAGAAGGGAGTGGCTCCGCCTTGGGAGGGCGCACTCTTCCAAGCCTAACAAGCACACGGAGCCACCGGGAAGGTGAATGGGGCACCTTTGGAGCCCAGGTACCCTGAGTGCACCAGCCAGTCCACTCGGAAGGTGGCTGGAGGACTTATCAAAACAGATTGTTCTGGGCCCAGAGTTTGAATCTAGTGCATTGGCAGAGGAGGGGGCCTGGCCTCTCCCCGGTTCTGGTAGCTCTTCATTTTGTATAAGGCTCCCTCTCAGCTGGGATCAGGGCTCAAGGTAACAATATCTGCAGGGTGAGGGTGTCCAGGTATCACTTTGGGGACACTGTTGATCCATGACAAGGAGGCATGGGGGAAGGAGCAACAACAGCAACAGCAAAAGTCAAACTCACTGCCATTGAGTTGATCCCATCTCTTAATGACCCTAGAGGACAGGGCAGAACTGCTTCTGTGGGCTTCCGGGGCTATCAATCTTTACGGGAGCATGCAGCCTCATCTTTCTCCTGTGGAGCAGCTGGTGGTTTTGAACTGCCAACCTGGCAGCTAGCAGCTCAATGAGTAAGCCACTACACCATGAGGAACAGACAAAATGGGGTCAGAGGACAGACTATAGCCCTGGGCTTGGGGTCAGACAGGATTCTAAAGCAGATGAAAGGAGTGGCCATTAGGATGGAGATTTTTAGATGGGCCCCTGCAGGAGGGCAGGGGCAATGGGGAATGCTGCCCAGCTACCCACATGCTTGTAGGGAGTAAGCACCCGCAGGGAAGCTGGTGGGAGGCAGTGGACAGACGTAGGTGCAGGGCTTGCAGGGAGACAGGGCAGCTCACGGGACTGCTTGCTTGAGGAGGACGGTTGGAGCACGGGGCTAGCGTGGGGACCCAGCTGGAGCCTAAGCTGAAGCCACTGCTAGGACTTAAACAAGTTAAGGCTTGTTGGTGGGCAGCTGGCCAGGCCTCTGCAGGCCACAGGGGTGGACAGGGCAGGGCAGGGACCTGTGGGAGAAGTTGCACCCTCAGAGGGCCCTGAAGGAACATGGAGGCTGCTGCTTGTCTCAGGAGAACAGGAGGCCGAAGAAAGCTATGTGTTCCACTGGGGACACATGGGACAGGCCACTATGGCGAGAGGCCTGGCTAGGGTGATGGTGGCCAGCGAAGTGAGAGGGTCCTGGAAGTGGGGCCTTTCCCCCTAGATAGCTGCCCCAGAGCAGCTCCTGAGCTCCTGAGAGGCAGCCCTGGGCTGAAGGGCATGTGCAGCAGTGGCCTCCATGAGGCAGCTGGAACGAAGACCCACATACAGGTGGCTTAAGGCGCCAGGGACCAGTGGCCCACTGCCAGGGGCCAGCGGGTGGCTCTTTTCAGAGCCCCGGTGGTAGGAGAAAACGCTGACTTGTGGGCCCCTCCTTGCCATCTCTGTTCCGTCCTGACATGGGTCATTGAATTGGGGGCCTGAGGAAGCCAAGATTCTACCTGATCCTTCCGCACGCAGAGCCCCTTTCGCCAAATAGGCTTAGGAATCAACATCTCCTTGGGGAATGATCTTTTAGCCTGGGATGGGCTGCTGCACACTGTCCTCCACCCCCCACCCCAGACTGTGACCAAGAAGCCAAAGGTGAAGGCTCTGGTGACGGAGACCCAGGGAGGAGGGGCAGCAGTGGGTCCAAGTGGAAGGTCATAGAAAGGGGGGCCACTGGTGATGAGGAGTGAGGGGTAGTGGCCCCCAAAGGTGGAGGATGAGGTGAGAAGGGGGTTGAGGAAGGAGAAGGGTGGCCCTCAAGACTAATCTGGAAATCCAGTGCGAAAGACAGGGCCTGGTGTAAGAAAGAACTTTCTAGCAAGTCTTCATACCTACCCCTTACAGATGGAGACCCTAAAAGGGGCTGATCAGTGGACAAGGGCACCAGATGCCGTCTCTTCAACCCCAGGATCCAAGCCAGTGATTCAGGGACTTGGACCTAAAAGGAGCCAGCTCTTTGGGGATCACCATTTGCTAGAGGCTGGGGATTTTCACGGTGGCCTGAAAGATTGTGGCTCTATTCTGACACCCCACGCCCACCCCACCCCCACCCCCAAGCACCTCTCAGCTGGCCAACCTGAAACTGAAGAGTCCAGGTAAAAAGTGTTCACCCTCCCACCTGCTCCTTCCCACTTGTGGTTGGGGTGACTCCTGCAGGGGGCGCGCTGCCAAGCACGGGGAGAGGGACCGCAGCTGTCATGAATCTGTCCCTTGAGCCTGAGAGAGGGTAGGGACACCCCCTCAGGATGGCCCTACCCTTCTCCCCAGGCCTATCAGTGCTGCTCCCTTCACCCAGGGCCCCTTGCTTCTCCATGGGCGCTTCCCTAGGTGCCTGTCCTGTCCTGTCCTCCTGTCATCAATATCAGAGGACTTGGCCTGGCCCACTCTCCTCCCTCTTCCAGTGCTCAGATACTGGTCACCCTGTGGAAGATGGGGGGTGGGGGGAGAAGGCAGCAGCTCCTAGAAGGTGCGCCCCCACCCTGTTGCATGGTCCTATTCCTTCGCAGGGTACCATGGTGGGCAGGGCTGGTGTCCCAGCTTTGTGTGTAGGTGTCCACGATGCTCTGAGCATCACTGTTCCCACCTGGGGTTAGGTCTGCATGGCCTTCTCGGGGTTTTCTTCTGGACAGTGGATTGCCACAGGGAGTGGGGGCTGCTGCTTCCTCTAGAAAACAGCCGGCCAGCCTACCCATTGTGCAGCCCAGGGAGGGGGGGGCTGTGTAGAACACAGAGGCTGAAGCCCAGCTCCCAGCCAATGGGGGAACACACACACACACACACACACACACACACACACACACAGGAACAGCTGCCACAGAGGGTTGGGGAGCCGAAGGGGAGTGTGTTTGCAAGTGTGTGGCTGTGTGGGCGTGCTCGGCTGTGCTGCAGTGTGTGCTGTGATTCTGTGCATGAGTAGGATGGGGTATGGTTGTATGTAGATAACGGTGTGTGGGGAGGGTGCGTGTGAATGACTGTGCACGTGTGTGCATGAACCTGTCAATGTGAGCATGTGTGGGAATGTGTGTGTGCCTGGTGTGTGAGTGCTCTGAGTAGAGGCATATGTAACTGTGTGAAGAACTGAGTGGGTGGTAGGGATCATGTAAGTGCGTGTGAGTGTGCTTGTCACGTGTGAGCAGTGGGGGGGGGGTGCAATTGGTGGGGAGAGTCGTGTGAGCACGTGTGAGCTTGGTCCCAACTCTCTGGGCCACCTGACCTCGCCAGTGTCCCTCAAAGAGACCTTCTTTGAGCCCACGTTATCTGGTGGCACCCACCCCAAGTGCATCTACTAGCTTTCCTTCTGCCTGGAAGGCTCTGCAGGGACTGGCCAGCTCTTTGTACCCCTTGCTCTTCCCAGTTTTGGTCCTCCCAGTACACGTTGGCGCACCCAGCTCCCTGTCTGAAGGCATGACGGGGTCTCCATAGGTGGGTTGGTGTGTGAAGTCTTTCTCCACTGTGTCCCTGTGTGCTGTGTCTCTACGTGCCCTGGGCTATCACTGTCCCCAAGGGCCACCCAGCTCCACACCCCAGTGCACTGATGGGGAGGCCCACACAGAAGGCGGGGCTCCTGGGACCAGGGTCCCCAGTTTGCAGAAGAGCACCCTCACTTAGCCGGTACTCTCCAGGGGCAGTGCCAGCGCAGGCAGGGCGGGACGCCCCCACGCGTGCTGGGAAAGAAAAGGGCGCGCTCCCCGCCCCCGCGTGAG